TACAAGCTAAGATATAAGAAACGTTGAAAAGAGAGCATAAATGAATATTGCTGTCACTGTTCAATGATTTTGTCATTTAGCAGTTCAAGCATGGTCATCAAAAGAACCGACTTTTAAGACCAATACAAAACAGGGATGTTAGCACTAGTGCAACTATTGCTGGATAGTTTTTTGCATGTAATTTATATGAAATGTCACAACTGTACCTCCAAGTCTGAAAATTTCCTGTTTCGTGTATCTGGAGGGTTGTTTCATTCATTTTGAATCTGAAAGATCACAAATAATTTAACAATGTTGACCGTGACAGAAAAATCAGCTGAACTCTATGTCAAACAAGTAGTTAACTTAAAGAAATCTTTCATCGCCGTATCAATTTAAACTCTGTTTAATTTTTAATTCAGTTTTGAAATGTAAATTCAATAAAAACCTAATGTTTAAGGTGTTCTTTTTTGCTGTTCTATATTAATGTAACAGTTAACGATAATTTTCAGTATTTGGCAAAGGTACACTTTAAGTGAAGTTTATTAAATCGTTTTCCCAGTAACAACATTGAAGTGCACGCTGGCGATTACAACTACAGACATTTTGAAACCATATTCGTATCTAAGATGTTTTGGCGGCATCATCATATCTCCTTTATATCAGAGGTATATTTAGCATTATTTTCATGTGTAGAAATGAATGTAATGTTAGCAATAATTGCGACGAAAAGGGTACTTCTACAGGTTCAATCGAATTGTCACCTCATATTAGGCATGCGCCCCCTACTGAATAGAATGAAAATTCCACCCCAAACTCGCAGTCCCTTTTTTCCACCGGCAACCAGCCCCGTCTGACACGGTTAATCTGGCGAGGCATTTCGCATCCCTTTTTCAGCCCATTCGCATCTCCTTTTTTCACCGGCAACCAGCCCCGTCTGACACGGTCAAGCCAGCGAGGCAAATTGCATCCCTTTCTCAGCCCACTCCCATCCCTTTTTTCATCGGCAACCAACCCAGTCTGACACGGTCAATCCGGCGAGGCAATTCTCATCCCTTTCTCAGCCTACTCGCATCCCCTTTTTTCACCTGCAACCAGCCCAGTCTGACACGGTCAATCCGGCAGGGAAATTTGCATCCCTTTCTAAGCCCACCGGCATCCCCTTTTTCACCGGCAACCATGCTTCAACACAAACGGAAAATGTGACTTTAAAACTGTCCACAATTAAAGTAAGCCTTAATTTCTTGAAATTGGGGACTTGGTCAACTGAGTCCTATTTCAAATATATAATTCAGAACATTGTTTTGCAAGAAATATCCCAGATTCCATAAATAAGGTCTTTGGAATGAATGGAAACCGAATATCAGGAGTTGTACAATAGGGAAAACCATGTGATGAATGAGAGCTTGAGATGTCAAAATGTAACGCATTTGACTGCCAGTTGTAGTCCTAGTCCTTTGTAATTACAGTCTTCAATCGTCATTGTAAGATCCTAATGGAGTGATTTTCTTGTAGCTCTGTGAATAAAATAAGTCCCTTTTAAATTAAAGCTTATTTGATAAAATTTTGGACCCTTCATTAAAACCTTTGGCTATACCAATACATAGTTGGGGGACGAATAACTGAGGCCCATACAGCTTTATAGAATTTATGTCCCCGGCAGATTTCAAATATTTGGGTATGGCAGAAACAGACCCTTTAGACGGCCTTTTGCGGCTTTTAGATAATTGATACAAGAAAAAATTCACTTATAATCCAATATACGAGACATGTGGGTTTAATTCTCTTTTTCCATGCAATGTACCGGTAGATAGACGGTTATTTAAGTCTGTTTCCTGGCGAATTTTTCTTTCTTTCTTAGTTTAAATTAATTTCTTTCTTTGCGTAGTATTTTTTTATAATAATGTATCACATGTACAACCCACCAACACAAGAAACGTGTTTTGCAATTAATGAACAAAAGTAATGCCAGGCACGATTGTATCATCGACCAGTCATCCAAGGCTAATTAGTGAATCCATTCTTGTATCAGTATGATTGTTGATGTTTGATATGAAACGGCTGCCAAAGAGAACAGGGAAAGGAGTTTATAGAGGAAAAGTAACTATGTCTTGAAAAGAGTATATTTTATAAATCAATGCCACACCATGTACTATGAGGGCAATGTTCATAATAAACATTGTACATAAAATCGTCAAACTCAGAATAGCACATTAAAATCATTTTACAAATCAACTTTTTTGCTTATCACAAAAAGGGTGTGGGATGATTCCACGGCCCATCATCCCACCACCAAAGGTGGGGAGATACATACCCTACCCCTCAGGATTTGTGTAAATGAGAAAAATAAATTATTGGCAACAGTACTTTCCAACATTATTTAGTCGAAGGCACGCCCCAGGAAATACTGTGTCAATACTATGGAGGTGACTTTACAACATTCTGTGTTGACCGGTCACTGCTGCTATACCCATTTCACTTTGTTAACCAATCGACTATGGCGATTACCTGACCGCAAATAACGTGGGCTACTGCCCGTGGCAGCCTGCAACCACCCCCCCCCCCCAGCTCTCGGTTGTTTTTTTATGACAAAAACCGCAAAACCCATTGTTACGATCCCAGTTGATCCAAATCCTTTTGTGTCTCCCTGAAAAGGTAGGTGTGGAATTTACGCGCGTTCCAAAACCTATAAAAGACTCCATAGTCATTGATTTCGCTCTCTGTCAGTGCCTATATACTTTTAGCATGTGCGTTCCAAAATAGCCAACGTTGGGTCAGCACCTCCTTGTCGTCTACGCCTCGTTACTGCTGGACCGTGGCCAAGGCTGACACCGCTGAGGGACCGTGGACCCTGGAGTGTCGTGGCTCCATGTGGAAGCCGAATCTCGGGGATCGACACTGACCTGCTTGTCTGAACTGGGCTGTTCTGGCGCGGAGGTGCTTGGCCCGACAACCGCGCTCTTTTAGCCATGGCACTGACTGGGCGGGGCCTAATTTTCTTCCTTTCTTGTGTTGGCTCCTTAAGGTAATTATACTCGGCCGAATACAATTTGCCTCTTTGCGTATTAATATGTTTTTGCCGGCTTGCTAATTTTCATTGTAATTAATTGTGCTTGGCTCTGCTAATGTAAATAATTTCCTTTTATGCTTTTGACTGTTCAAATACACGGTGTCCTTGCATGAGAAGTTTAAGTTGCAGCAAGCCACTAGATTTACTTTGGTTTAATTTACTGCTTTGCTGATTTAAGTTAATAATTAAATGTTATTCCAAATTAGTTCCTTTATTGTCCTTTGCTTGTATGTTTTAGTGTCCTGGTTCCCGTCTTTTGTTTTGTCTTCTGCCGTACATTCTCCGCACGTAAAACCCATTATAATGAAAAGAGTAAGTTAGGACAGGATTAAGGTACCAACTTTTACGACAGTGTGCTGGTAATGTGGGGATATCACGCAGCGCGGTGAGCATTGTTACGCAGAACGGTGAGATCACTCACTGCACTGCAAAACACTCCCTGCGCTCTCAAACAACTCTCACCACGCTGAGTGGTAACAGCTCTCATCGTGTAGTGAATTGACGAATCTCACCTCGCTGCTTAACGTGGCCTGAATAGAACACCATAGATTACACATCTTTGCTGTCCATGTCTGGGTTCATAGGAAATATCATGGTGATCGTATTCAGTGGCGTAGATGCTTGCTGGAATGGGAATGACTTGCCCGGCCATAGAAATTATTTGAAAATCGGGGGTGGGGGTGACACCATAATTATGACGCTATAAATGGGCAATGTTCATGATACACTGAGATGTACATCTGTAATATCATTGTATTACACTAGAACGGCATATTTATGGCTGTTTCATTCTCCCTTTTTGAGTGCTATCGACTACCTGCTGGTTGTTAGGAAGTCCGAAAAATTCCACCCAATCTGCCTTTTTCTCACCACCAAAAAATTTCGGGATGATTCAATATAGCGCATCCCACTCCCTGGTCAAAAAGTGACCAGGGATGTCCCCCATCTCCCCCATGATTTAAGTTCGTGGATCGTGGGCTTGGCATCTCGCCCAGGCCGCAGGTCACATTGTACGCAGTGATCGTCAACCTCTGGTTGGCCTGCTTTACGGTGAACACCCTGGCTATCCCGCTTGTCGCCGTATTGTCCTTACTGCTGGCCATACGGCTCTCTCGTGTGCGGCACTGAGGATCTGCCTCCTGTCTCGGATCGGGTTCGGGGTGCCCCTCTGCAACATCACCGCGGTCAACATATGCGCCCTCTAAACATCTCAAAAAGTTAACGCGCGACTTTAGTGTTCATCCAATGGGAGCCTGCAATCAGTGGTGCGTCCGCGTGTATGACGAAGTCACGAACCGGATTTGGAAACGGCTTCAACAAGAGTGCGCGATAGTGTGCCCTAACAGCGCAGCCATACGTTGACTCGTTACGTACGTTGAGGTTCTTGCTTATGAAATGTGATCGCATACCCACTCTTTGTCGGTGATACCCAATTGAGTTATGTAATGATGTCGCCAAGACCTCCTCTCAACCGTCTTGGTGATGGAAAAACAACCCACAATTAAGAAAAAGGAGATCGTGTAGTAAACAATATCACTTGGCCAAGAGACATCCCTGCATCGAGTCCCCTAAGGTGTACTTTCCTTGGACACACAGGCAGTTATGAAGCCACCCTCGGCCAGCTCAATGTTTACCGTTATCTTCGACCAAAAATAGTCGAAAAATGTCACCAGCGACAACTGAGTAAATACTGGGCTCCGGAGCCTGGTGCTAAATTGTTGACTAAATGGTCCAACCATTCCACGATTGATTGCATGCAGTTGGACGAACTGTGTAGTAGTCGTCGCTCAAATTTGTCCTACTGTGGGAGTCCATAACGTTTGTAAACAGCACAACGCTCCCTAAATAGGTCATACAAGCCCCAAAACAACTTTGTTCAGGCCTGAGTACACACATACCTTCAAGTCGTATACATTTATTTTTTTTGTGTTAGCGATTTATGCATTGTTCATCGCAAAAATATCTTTCAACCATTAGCAACATGTACAGTCATTCAGGTCTTGAGTCCGACAACAAAGTGATTCCCCCCCCCTAATCTGTAAAAGCCACGGCAAGGGAAGGAGCTTTTCTGTTTTTAATGATGTTGGCACTTAAAAAATGGCAAACAAAATGGCCAGCATGTCCCTAGAGACCGGCAAGTTGCCTCTCCTACCCCAGATGGATACGTTCTATGCCCCCGCCTTTTATTATAGGAAAGATATTCCTAAAGATTAAACGTTTTCCAAATTACAGTTTTTCGTTGATGTTATTTACTATTGAACAGGTTTTAGACATCCTTACTATTCTAGCTAACTATAGTATGTTAATTTAATACACTGAAACCTTGAATAGTGCAATCATAGTTGTCAAAGGCATAATATCAATAAGTAAACATCTTGTGGCATATTGATGGAGAACAGTTACATGTACCTGGAAAAAAATTCAAAATGAAATTTGCAGTCGGTCCATCACTTGGTAGGTAATGCTTCAACCAAGGCGCTCCTATCTGTATTTTGTCAATCTGTTCTGCTACCTTAAAGTGGTCCTACCTCTTCTCTATAGTGCCGCATGGTTAATCATTAACTGTTGAAGATTTAAGAGTTGTGCGATCCCTTCGTGACAGGCGAAGATAAACAAACAGAGAAATCGAACCTGGAAAGTGCAGGGAGAGAGTTGCTGTTGGCATTCCGAGCAGTTTTCACGATGGACGGCAACGTGGGACAGTTAAGTTTCATTAACGGCTCTATTGCCCCAGACTCTGATCCGTCTGAAGACGACAGCCTGGATGGAATAGTTGTGATTGCTATGTACCTGGCTCTGTTGTCTGTTGTCGGTTTCATCGGGAACATCTTGGTGATGGTCTCGGTAGCCATCTCGCCCAAGCTACGGACGACGTCCTACGCGTTCATCGTCAACCTGAGCGCGGCCGACCTACTGATCAACGCCATCGTGACTCCTCTCGTGGTGGTGTCGTTCTTCAATTCTGGCTGGCCGCACGACCTCTTCTGGTGCCGGTCGCTGTGTTACCTGCTTCTCCTCTCGGTGGGCGTGTCCCTGCAGACGGTGATGGAGATTGCCGCCAGCCGCTACTGCTTCGTGTCGCGCCCCCGCCAGACGTACCGTAAGTACTTCCGTTGGAGGGTCGTGGCCGTCCTCCTGGCCCACAACTGGCTGGCGCCACTGCTGTTCATCTTCATCCACAGGTGGAGTGGCTTCAGCGGCATCCAGTACCACCCCGTGCTCCGATTTTGCTTCCTGAAGTACTCGGGTAACCCGGAGTTCTGGTACATTAACGGCATCATGCTCTACTTCTTGGCGACCTGCTTCCTCCTCATCCCGTGCCTCTACTGCATGGCTTGCCGCACACTCTACGCCAGCCGGAGGCGCGTCCGTCCAACTTTGTCTAAGCAGAACCCAGGATCCTCCGACCACCGGCCAATTCTCCGGTCTGCAGAAGTCAAGTTTACCAAGATGATGGCCCTCATCTTTATCCTTCTCATGATCTGCTGGGCACCCATCTGCATTATGCACTTCTTCGCTGTCGATGCCCTCTCTCATCGTCTCGGGATCGTCCTTCTCCTTACCAACTCGTCCGTCAATCCTTTTGTGTACGCTTGGCTCAACACCCACTTTAAAAGAGCTTACAAGCGCATTTTACTTTGTGGCAAAGATCAAAGAGGTAGGGTCAAACCACTCATAGTTTAGGGGAGTAGTGCCTGGTATTAGCAAGCTTACCCAGGAATTTGGCTGCCCCATGCCCAATTTTTGAAACTCGGTGTGCATGTAAAAACACTCCTTATCTGTGCTAATGTGAAATTTCAACTCAATCTGACAAATGGTTTTGTTTCGGTCATTTAAAGCAATGATGTGGATACTGTAACAGACAATGGCAACATAACCATTTAGGGCCCAGAATTGTCAAAGGGCTTATGCCAACAGAAGCAGATTTGCATTATTATACAGTATATTGTTGCTGTCTTTGTTTAGGAGAAATGTTGTATAGAATCACTTACAGATGTTAATATAAAGTTCCCGACGCCAAAGTGATTGGACAATTTTAAATGGACAACATGGGACTTCGTATCCGAGGAGAGTTACCTGACGTGGATGTTGACATTCTGTTTCCTTGCTGTTTTCCATGTGGTAAATGTACACAGGAAAAAAGTGCATCAATACGTTTATATGACGTCTTTTCCCCTTATGTGTAGCACTTACCCCGGCTAAAGATCAATCTCGCTTTCAAGCAAAGAGCAATTACTTTGCAGTAAACATTAGCAATCACATAGCTTGATATTAAAGTAGCATTATTGTTGTCCAGTTTGAAGCAGCTAAATTTAATTGAAAGTAATCTCAAATTCAAAATCAACGCGGGTTGTCAGAACTGTCTCTTAAACACGCATAAGTGTTAATCTTGAAATAACTTAGAAAGCAAATGAAACAATATTGGTACTCTAATAAGGTTGCATGCATGGTTCTGGTTTGATATTATATGTGCAGGATGCTCTATTCTTGGGCGTCAATGGGGGGGGGGCAGGAAGATAGGGTCTCACGACATATTTTGTGAAGGGGACGGATATGGGAATTTTCTCCTGCCGCATATAATTTTGACCTTGTCATTCTGGCTTGTGCGTCTCAAAGATCTTCCCAAATGTTGATCGTTTCACAGTAGTGCGCCTCCATGAGTTTGCAACGCATTGGCCAAACACAATGCACGAAATCTGTCGACCCGATGCCCGTTTGGAAAGGGTCGACAGATTTCGCGCGTTGTGATTCGCCGACAAGTAGCAAACTCTTGGAGGCGCAATCGCTCTTATTTTATATTGAAGTGATACACTCTTCCTTGATGATAACAGTGTAATTGTATGGTGTTTAATTTTGCTTCTGAAAGAGTTATCATGTACATATAAAGCTAGTTCCGTAAAACAGCTACTATTAAAAACATCGATTTGTCGATCAATTTTTAGTCTTATTGCACTCCAATATTAAACAGGATGCTCAGAGATCCAAGAATTGACGGTCCGTTCAGACTCCATTCAACAAAGAAGCCCACTGTACTTTCAAATCGAACCGGCGGCAATTACAAGTGGGACTATCACACCCGATATCACAAACTCAACGACGATTGCCGCAACAGCAGAGTACTTAACTGTCGTCGATGCCCTCGGTGAGCCATTGTAGTCGTCATCGTCATTCCGCGCACGCACCTGCAGACGGTAACCAAGGGGAAGAAGTGTTTTCATAAATTCAGCCGTGTCCGAATAAAGTACTGTGAATCAGACGCGCATGTTTTTTTGTTTTTTTTTGCACTTTCACAGTTACGAGCCATATCATTCTTGAAAATATATCTAGGTAGATTTTCATTGTAAACCGTGCCGAATGAAATTAAGGGCTTACGTTTGTCAACCATCCATTTGACCATCTTTTGGGTCCAAATAATGAGACTGACGACAGAGGCGTTATCAACCCGACTTGAATAAAGGTTGTCATCGTGGCTCTGGTGGATTTAGGATTTTTTTTCAAAGAGAAGCTAACTCTGACAATTAAACCCAGGAAGCTTCCAGGAGGCCGAAGATTTGTCTCCTCTCAAGCCTGTCAATAAAACCATTATCCCATGGGAAAGTGCATGGTTTATCCCAAGCATGCTATGTAATAAAAATGGGTCTCAGCCAGTTCGCGTGAGCTGTGATTGATGATGAATCGAACGTTGTTAGACGTACCACGGACCTACCTTGTGCGACTGACAGCACCCATCTGTACCGATGAATGGGCTGAAGGAAAATGTTGCGATTATTGCGAGACTCACATGAGGGTTGGGCATATCTTTGTCAACACCGCGTTCCCATCCTGGTAATCAAACAAGAAGATGACGTTTTCTTTAACACTTTAAAATTAAGTAGTGCTGTACGATCCACAGTTCATGACCACGCGTCGCATCATTCCCGTTCCCCACCAAAGTCCCAGTTCAGCTTTGATGTGCAGGTACAAATGGGTTCGGGAAACTAAATGCATTCCTTGGTCATTTTCATACACTGCTACATCGTGACAGGAATTGCCACTTACCCAGTTCTAATAATGACTCTGCTGGTATACAACGCCAAACTCCCCATTGGTGTCAAACGCCAATGCAAATTGTTCACATTGTATGATGTTGATTGCAAAATGCTGATTTTTATGGGTTTTTAAGCTACGAGAACAAATCATTCGAGGGGAGTCAAAATGTTCAAGGCGTGTGTTCTACTTCTTGAATTGACTTGAATAAAACTTATTTCAAGCCATCTTCAACAATCAGGAAGTGGTCCCGTTAACTAAAGGTCGTTTACCTCGATGTCATACTCCATTCCCGTCAAACGAATGACTTACATGAACATAGCGGGACAAATTTTGTGGAGTGCCCTGCAAGGACCCGCCACCCTGTCTTTGGGCACCTTCAGGCCTACAGGTCCAGTTTCTGGGAGGAGCCTTGGTCAAAAAGGCTGCCAGTGGATCACTCAGAAGTGGAACAGATGCGTCGGGGCTGATAGCGTGCGCGGAGTTGGCACTGGTTGCGGGGTCTGTGTGGAAGGGAAAAAATAATACACGTGGAAAATTGCATATTAGTTTTTTTGTTCACGCGAATTATAGGAACTACAAGATAGAAAATAAAACCAATGCTACCTGTGTTACGTAATCCAGTGCTATATGGCGGAGGTGGTGTGTGGTCACTTTGGGAATACATGCATTGCTGAAGCAGGCCTGGCTGACTGCCGTATGCAACTGCTACTGAGGGAGATCAGAGGTCAAAGACGTAGAAACCACGCTTCACTCGCATAATAGCAAGAAGAGAAGTTTTCAGGGGAAACCAGTTTTCCGAAATTGCGCGACGATGTACCGGTAGGCCTACTAGCTAGCCAGGCAAGGGTAACAAGTGTGTGTTTATTTGCAATTACGACTACTCAGTGTCACAAACAGATTACACCGTCAGTTCACTTCTTATGTGGGCGACAGAATTAAGAAGAAAACAAAAATGTGACCCGCTCTGTGAAAATGAGTTTTAAGTCGCCAGAGCCACCTTTTGAGTTTTAATTTGTATTGGAAAGACCAAATTGAGTTTTTTTGTTTTGATGTATCGGTCAGTTTTGCCTCCTGAAGAAAGTGGATTCTCCATGATGGTGAAAAATGCTGTGGTTCCTATTGATTTACACTGTGCAAAATTATTCTAAAGGACTTTTTACTCCAAAGTGGCTCTGGCGACTTAAGACTCATTTTCACAGAGTGGGTCACAAATCATTATCATGGATCTGCCAGCTATAAGTCTGTGTACAGGTGTTAACACACACTCCACACAGCCCCGTCCTGCTGGCCGCTTTGTGCATGTATTTTAGGGTATTGTATGCACGTAGATGTGAAAACCTATCTCGCGCATCGTGTGTCTTTCAAGTTTCAGCAAGTAAAGGCCGGGGTAGTTCGAGTAACTTGAACTCTACGAATCTCCTCTTTTAACATTTGGACATGGTCAACAATTGTAGAGTTCAAGTGCCCTTCGAAGGCCTTATAATCCCCTTCCGGGGGAGAGCATCTCATCTGGGCGACCTTCCCGGGCCTTTTCCATGTAGGTTTTAAATAGCGCCCTCGCTTGACAAATTAAACGAAGGTTTAAGGTCTGGTGCGCACACGTGTAGTTCCTTAGAACCTGGACGTATCATGTGTGAAGCGCTGCACGCTGATAACATTGCAAGTGACAGCTGCAACTGGTATTCCCGGTCCCGGTCTTCAAATCAAGGCAGTTGAACTTGGAATTGGAATGCTCCAACTTAAGTCTAAAAAAAATGGCTGCCTTTTTTAAACGGTTAATCGCTGCCCAGGTAGGGCTTACTTGTTCATTTCCTGACCAGCTCGGCAAACCACGGAGGGTTTTATTCCTCCTCGGGGAAACCAAACAGTCTCTGACTCTGCGAGACATTATGACCATGCTACATGTACATCATGTATGGTATGGCCAACATATTTTTTTGGTTTGGCATCATGATCACGACATGGCTGATTAGGAGTGATACTTTCATAGGCTTGAAAAGTAAGACCAGAGACACCTGGGCTAGGCTCCTAGGCCTACCATGGGCCTATGTACCTACTTTCCAGACCTAGTACCTACTTTTCCATGGCATTGTTTGTTTGTGTTTACTGAAGTCAAGTTCACTCAGCTTGGGGGAGAACTGAAGTCATCTAGGCCTATTTAGCCCCATAAATAGGGCTGTAGTGGCTCTCTTTTACAATCTGTCTCTTAGCTGTCGCCACCGCAGCCCTACTTCAAGGCATGTCTTAAATGCCTGAAATCCAAACTGCAGGATTGTCACAAACTTTGAATCCTAATACTGTATCTTTTGAAAGGAGAATGACTCAACAATTTTACTTACACCGGCGTACCCCTCAGAGTTTGGACTTTCATATAAGCACCCTAAAGCTTTCCAAAACCATTTAGGGCCTACATTGTATTTTCCAATGTATAGCGCCTTGACATGCTTGAAAAACCAATGGGATGGTCCAATCACAACATTTAACATAATAGGTTTATACTGTACATGTAATGCCCCATTTGTCCCCTTGTTTAGTAAACTTGGCATTCAATCTGTGTCTTGGCAAATGATTTGTAACTGGGGATGAGTCAAAAAGTGCCTTTTGCTCATAAATAATGACAGAAATGTAGGTAATGAAATTTTCAGTGGCAGCTTTCAGTTTATGTGGGTTGGGATTGCAAATCGATGAGGTTCATTCCCATACCCTACTGTAGAGCTCTAAATGAAAACAGCAGCTGGCTTTATTGTGTCATATATCAAATACAGGTTGCAAAGACAACTGGTTTCACCGAAGAAAGCATTTTGCCTCTGGTGTCTCCGCTTCCTACCTCCAAGAAGAGGTATGTGCACAAATGTTGCTTACTGTATTCTCGCATTCAGACATTCAGGAATTTTGTTGTACTTCTGCACAGTGGTACATAGCACAAAGGGGTCTTGCCCGTAAGTGACGAATCATTATTTGGCTGCATTACTTGAGAGCAAGTTTCCTGACTCAGTTCTGTGGTGAGCCATTGTTTTGAAATGCTTTCTGGTGGAGGACTTGAATTGCTGGAATGAATGTAGTTGCAAATTTGAAATTTGGTCATCCTCGTACCACTGCAAGGGTCAAAATTAACGGTGGTCGAGGCCAGTAAAAATTATCAGGACCACCAGATCCACCAAACCCGATGGTCTGGCGGGCCAGTGCAAATGAATGGTCTTAGTAAATAAATTCCATGTCACAATATTTTTAATTCTCTCGAAACAACATGGCTTATAGTCACTATACTTGCCGTCACTGAAAATAGTTTCCCAGTTGGCAACAGTACACAGTGCACGTGATGTACACACAGAGATTTCTCGAACCACGAACGTACAGTTCTGTACATACTGTACATGTACACCAAGCATGCAGAAGAAGCTGCATGTACATGTACTGTATCCGTGCGCGGTTAATCGATCGATCACGCATGCATAGTTCACGTTCGTACGGCTCTAGTGTAACCAGCCCGAACTGGTACCCGTGTGTCATTTCAGACGGTAACTAGAAGGACCAATCTGTGGCTGTACTGCACCGCGCTTAATGGTTTGGGTTATTTTTTTGACGCGCTGAAACCCTTTTTCTCAATTTTTGATATAAATACATGAACTTCAATTCATTGTGTGAGGGAGACAATGGAAACGTGTCTTTTTTTTAAGTATGGCGCATATTAAATTCGACTAAAATTGGATGACGGTAGTTGGAAGGGTTGATCAATTAATCGCTTTTGCGCAAGCAATACAAACAATTGAAAGGGAAAAATGTCGGGAAGAAATGGGTTGCAGTTTTACACCACTGTTTGATAAGTACCAAGGACTACCAAATTTTCAGCAGGACCAGTAGGATTCTCTAAATGGTGGTCCTGCTGGCCAGCATGAAATTCAAGTTAATTTCGACCCCTGCACTATATTTCAAAAATTTGTCCTGTCTGGTCCAAAGGCTGGGAGCTAATGAATAGATGTTTGTACCAATTTTGCAAAAGTATAGTGCAATCTTGAACCTTGCGCAGATTTAGTGTAGGCTTACTCCTCCTGAGTTGATGATCTTATGAATGAGGGTTATTCAAAGGCAAGTCAACTCAGGATGGAGTACAGTAAATTTATGCAAGGTTCAAGATTGTGCTTAACAGTAAACATACTGAGTATGAAATGGCCCAAAATCTCTTTGACTTGTTATAAGGCACCCCTGGTGTTGAATTGACACCCACCTGATGAGTGGGAACTGATTACTTATTTTGGGTCTTTTCCAGAGTAGTTACAGAGTATGGTTTGACTGTGAAACCACTTTTCCAGGAAGATGATGCACCAGACGGCTGGCAGTACAGGAAAAGCTTGCAAGAGTTTGCAGAAAAAATAGCATCTAAGGTCAGTTACCATACTGTTCCCAGACGTGGAATTCTAGGCTACCACTAACCCAGGAAGGTTAGGGGTGTTATCAAGATGTATTTTTTTTTTAGGTTAGGGGTGATTATCATATATACAGGCATAGTTAACTGCAAGCTTGATTAGGTCAGTGGACACTTTGACTTCAAAACTTAAGTGCTAAGGTAAATGTTGGGCTTTACTTTCCTATTCTAAAAACATCCCCCAACCAACTAATTCCCCACCAAGAAAAAATTACTACATGTAGACTCTAGCCCTTGGCTCTAAAGATAACACTCTCCTAACAGAGCTACCATGCAAGTCGCCCAGAAGGGCAATTTTGTTGTGTCTTATACTTAAATATTCATGTACAACATTTCTGATACTTGCCCCCAACCTTCCTAGATGAAAAACGTATGCGTAACAGTTAAGATACGCCCATTTTATCATAAGTACCCCTAACCTTCCTAGGAAAAGATTACACCCCCTGACAGTGGGGTGGTAGGTCCATCATCCAGTGTTGGATGATGAGGCACCAAATATACTCCCCCAAGGAATAAAACAGACATCAGTTGTGCAATCATTCAAATTGATTCCTGGGTCTCATCTCAGCACTCGAGTATTTGCACATCAAAATATCCCCGGGCGTAGCTTAGTTTGCACTCTGAGCAAGTTCTACATCACTCAGTGCCCATAGGCGTGGCCATGAAGCCATGGCTAAAGGTATTGCTCTGCCATTCATAACATTGCACGCTGTAATTACCCTCAATCATTGCATCTACTGGAATTAGCATGGATTATAAACAGAACAGTGTTTACAAATTAATAATTTATACTCGAGCATTAATCAAGAGATATAACCCAGTGGAAGGCATGAACTGTGAACTCAAAGAGATTATTTGATGCAGTGGTTGCTGAGGCCCTGTCTGCGCAAGGCACAGTGTGGCCACG